CTGCATGAAATGTTGGTCATCGTCTCAAAATCTGTTCAAGTAAAACACATATCATTTGGCTCATGTTGATTAACTGTGGTTGCCATCTTCACTTGGATCAAGTCCACAAGTTAATCAGCTGTAGAAGTACATCCAGTGATTACTTTCTGAAAGTTTGAATAAAACTTGTCTAGAGGTTCTTGATACATTTTTCTAACAAACAGGGTTGATTCCAAGAGGTAAAGCTTTTAAAGAGATTGTGCCAAGTGGCACTTAGAATGTGAGTAAATAACTCACCTACCCTGCCAAATTTTAGCTTGATATACTGTACATAGAACTTCTTGAATTATAATCATGTTTCTATTTGCTGTTGCAGACATTAAATTGGACTGACTAATCAGTTGCAGAAACTATATTGTTTAAATCTGTTGTTTCATGAGACATTTCGCTAATGGAAAGACAGACAGACATTAAGATGCTAATGGCAAAATTTTAAAGATCTTATATAATTGGTTAGTACTTAGATTATGTGTTGGGGTTCAGTCTCAACCTCTTCAACAGCAAATTTCGGGACAATATCTAAAACTGATAAATTTGCTTGGTTTTCAAAGTGGGTTGATTGTAGTAGCTATCTCGATTCAGGTTTCTTTCTAAAATTTATTAGTTTTAGACATGCGTGTCTATTGTTACTAAGATAGTTCTTATACCTGCCTGTAAACACTATGGAAACCACTATGATTGTTAAGGTGTGACTTTAAGATTGGAAGTTCCTTTTTCTTCTAAGGTAATGCTAAATTGTCCATACACACTGGGCTCCTCCCTTTTGTAATCGGTTGTATACTTTGCTTCATGCAGGACTTGGAGCAGGCAAACCATTATGTGGTTGTTTTTCTGTTTATTATTCTCATCAGGTATGCCAAATGCATAAAAGTTAATTTTGTTAATATTAAAAGTAGTGCGTCATGGTTGCAGGCCTTTTTGTAGTCTTGTCCTGTGGGGGAGGACATGGAGCGGGCAGAAGGACGACACTGCTGTGTTTACTGATTAAGAACTTATTCAGCCTTTTTCAGAAATCAGATTCATTTATATACTGAAATTGTGAGGATTTGGCATGAACAGACCCAGGGCGCAGGCAGGCTCCAAAAGTAGAACAAAAATTTATTTCAAATAACAAAAAATGCTGTAGAGACAGCTGAACTTACAGGAGGCACGAGGATCACACAGGCAGGAGGAACGAAGCACAGAGAACCAGACCCAACACATCAAAACAAAATGATCCGACCAAAAGACAGAGACAGGACAGGGCTTAAATACACAGAAAACTAATTACTAAACAGAAAACACCTGGGGAG